AAATTTTGAAAAAAAATATATTATATACACATAAACCTAAATTTTTGTGTTAATTAATTTGATATTTGTATTTTTATTAATACTATGTATTTTTTTTATTAATTATATTTGTATTTTTCTCTAACTAATTTTATTTTAATATAGTGGATCGAATTTAAATAGACCATGTAAAAACCACGGCCGAATGATTTCAGTTCATGAACACCTAATTTGAAAAACATAATATACAAAGATTAATATGGATACGACAAAGATGATCTTGAATATAACAAAGTGAAATGTTGATTTTAGATATTCAGTTTTTTTTTTAAAGTTAATACATAAAAGAAAATTACACTGCCATATGACCCTAAAAAACTTTCTAATTCATTGTAGAACCTAATTTGCTAGAATACATCATATACTTTAAACTAATTTGCTAAAATTATCATATACTTTTAATGATGTTCCGTAACGAACGATTTCACATTTTGTCCAAAAAAAGGTTAGAGATTATAAAAATAAAAAGAGATATTAAAACAGATATGGGAAGATGACGAAAATGGAAATATCATAATGAAATGTGCATTACCTATAAATAAAAACCATAGAGGATACAATCACAAACTTGTACAATCACAAACTTAGATTTGACTTCTGTTGTTAAGCTTAGGAGGTTTCAGTGTTCCAACATGGGTTTAAAGCCCCTCTTTCCCCTCCCTAAATTCTAATTATTTTTTTGATGAAATATTAAATTTATTAATTACTGTAAAAAAATATATGTAAGTAGTGTTTAAACGTCTAAAAATATGAGTTTCAACCATCTACAAAGTAACCTCCTCATCTTTGGCTTCAAGAAATACTTGGTGGATGTAATGCGATTGTGCATTGTCTTGTCGATCATACGAGCAAGCTGTTCCAGCGGTTTTGCAGTGGCATTGTGTTTCCTATCATTCCTCTCTCTCCAAATTTGGAGGGAGATGAATGATAGGAAACACAATGCTGCGAATAGATAGCAACTTACAGGACCATTCGCAGCAGGATAAAAGTGAGTCGATCATAGGTACTTGTCTGAAGGTGCATAATAGTGATGTTCCAATCAGGGTTAGGATCAACACCAAAAAGGTTCCCTACTACCTTGAGCCACAGCGTGAAAGTATAAGGGCAGGCAAAGAAGATGTGGTTTCTTGTCTCATTAGGTTCCCTACAGTAGAGACAGCCTTGCGGGCTTCCCACCTACTAGTACGATGACAGTAGAAAGCTTGTCTAGGAAAGATAACCATGTAATAAGAGCGTAGAGAGGCACTCATTGAGGGAACCATACCAGTTTACTCCAAGAAACTTTATCCTTACGACATCTGATCTGGTGCCATACGTCCAATGTAACAAATTTCTCACCATATAAATCGGGTCCCGACTTCCAAAGAACCCCATCTTCTTCATCTGTCAAAGTTAGAGGAAACCCTTTTATTTCCTGCACAAGGGCAGCCAAAGCTTGCTCACGACAGACCCTTATCATCCATTCGTCACCAACATACACGTCACAGATACATGCATTCCTTGCAATTTCCAGTTTATGAGTTCCCAGAGCACCAGCGAGTTCAACCAGCCGGCCTTTTGGAAACCAGATGTCAGTCCAAAATCTAACCGTCTGTCCCTTCCTAATACTCAACTGTAAAAACTGCTTAGCCAATGAACGGTATCTCAGCAATTTCCTCCATCCCACGAACCAAGACCCGTGTCTTTTGCATCCCAAATAGTTTCTCCTCTAAGCAGATATTGTTTAACCCATACACCCCACAGAGAAGAGGAGTGGGTATATAATCGCCATATGAGCTTCAAAATGAACACAGTGCTCACCTCCTGAACTCTGCGTATCCCAAGACCGCCTTCATCATAAGGGCAACACACCTCCGACCAAGCAACTTTGGAACTCGAGGTATTATTGGGGGATCTACTCCATAGGAATGCAGAACAATTACTTTCTGTTTCATCAATACAGGCTTGTGGGAGGCAGAAAGCAGCAGACCAAAAATTAGTAATGCTTGCTATAAACCGACTTTATCAACTGCAATCTTCACGCGTAGGAAAGGGCCTTACTAGTCCAAGATAGCATCCGGTTCCTTATTTTTGTGATCAGCGGTTCATAATCATTCTTTCCCATTATTTTTGTGGTAAGAGGGAGCCCAAGATACCTAATAGGTAAAGCTGAGATCGACAAACCACATACTGCAGCTTCATTCTCCAGTTCTTGCTTCCCCCTTCCCGCAGCGAATACAGTAGATTTAGTGACATTGATCCTCAAATCCGACATGACTGCAAACTGATCAAACACCGACAGTGTACTCCTCAGAGAAGCGGGCGTGTCATTAGTGAAGACAACTATGTCGTCTGCAAAACTCAGATGGGATAGCTGAACCTCCTTACACTGCGGATGGAAACCAATATGACCAACAAAAGCTGTTTTGTTCAGTAGTTTGGAGAGAATATTATTGACAATAACATATAAATAGGGAGACAAGGAGCATCCTTGTCTTATACCTCTGGAGCTTGAGAAGAAACCCTCCATTTTACCATTAATTGAGACAGAGAAAGCTGCAGTATCTATACATCGCATTATCCAAGTAACAAAAAGGTCTGGGTAATTCATAGCTTGAAGAGTGGCTTCAATAAAAGACCAGTTGATTGTGTCAAACGCTTTGGAGATGTCCAGTTTCATAGAAGAACGAAAAGAGACAAAGGACTTATGATAGTCCTTGACAAGCTCGGTGGCCAGGAGAACATTTTCCAATAGCAGTCGTCCCTCCACAAAAGCGCATAGGTTAAGTTCTATAGCCTCTGGAAATGTAGCCTTCACACACCGAGAACATTTTCCAATAGCAGTCGTCCCTCCACAAAAGTGCATTGGCTAAATTCTAATTTAGTGTCACGTGACCTTAAATAAACAGTTAATTCATGGATTTAGTGTCAACATTAGTCAATGTATGTACTATTCATTTTTAAGCGTTAAAGTATGAAAGTTGGATATATTTAATGTAAAATATGTTTTAGCAAATCTGATATGTTTGAGATCGGATCACTAAAATCATCTTTAGTTCATTTCTATTTTTATCTCTATATTTTCTCATAAAATAAAAATTTTTATTATATAGGTGATTTTGTTCCAACGTATGTTTCTATAATAGAGTTTTTATATTTTTAGGGGAAATATAGAAAAATGCTATTTTCACCGCTAGAGAAAAATATCATTCCTATATATTATCCCCTAAAATAACAATCTCTGTTATAAATGTGGATCTCTAATTTATGTATTTATAATAGAATTCTTCTATTTTAGAGGAAAATATAGAGAAAAATTAATTTGTCTCTATCTTAAGAAGTGAAAATTGTATATCTTTATATTTTTCCCTATGAATAGAGAGACATTCTATTATAGAGATACACATTGGAGTAAATCTACCTATAATTAAATTTCTCTATTTTATGAAAAAATGTCGAGATAGAAATAAAGGTGGATTGGAGATAGTCTAAAATAGGATAACTATATTCTAGAATCATATATTGGAACCAATTCACTTATATGATAGAGATATCTATTTTAGAGAAAAATATAGAGATATACATTGGAAATGTTCTAATTAGTGTTGATGTGGGAATTGGTCGTTTTTTCGTAGACTAAGAGCATATCCAACCACCAAATTTGATGTTTTGGTGTGAAACTTTATATTTTATCTTCAACCATCACACCAAATTATACACCAAAACAATATTTTATGGAAAATTACTCATTATAGTTTATTATTATTTTTTAGTATAGATAATTTAATGCATTATTATTTAGAATTGACTAATTATATTTATCACTTTATTTTTTTATTTGTTAAGATTTAGTAACTTTATCTTTCTATTTATTTATATATGTTATTTATATTTTTATTTAATACGTATATTTATTTGTTTATTTTATAAAAATACTCTTCAAAATTAAAATTTATATAGTTAAAATGAAAATCATTTTTATTTTAACAATTTAATGTAATTGACTCATTTAATTCTATTATTAATTAAAAATATAAATACAATAATAGTTTAATGCTCTAGTAATGTGAAAATACAAATAAAACCTACAAATAATACTCCCTCCGTTTCATATTAAGTGTCGTTGTAGAGAATTTTCTACGTTACAGAATAAGTGTCGTTTTCGGTTTTCAATGCAAAATTTATTAATTTTATTATGTAATTTGTTTTTCTATTGGTTAAAATATGGTTAGGTGTATGGGTAATTGTATTTTTATATAGGAAATATGTAAAATTAATTGTTTCCTTAATCTGTGTGCACAGCTGTAAAGTGACACTTATAATGAAACAGAGGGAGTATGATCTATTCATTTTTAACTATAATTTAAAATTAATTAATAAACTAATCTATTATAATTAAATAAAAATAATAAAATATATTATTTTAATATTTGGTGTGGTGAATAGTATTACACTAAATTTTTAATGTCTTATTAAAGATTAATCTGTACTAAATTTGATGTTTAGTGTTGCATTGGAGAACGCAACCGCAACGAGTACTCATTTGGTTGGCCAGTTTTCCATTGGATATATTCTTATACATCTTTCATAGTTTTCAAATATTTTCAAAAAAGTTATTGTTAATATTTACTTTGAATATCATCCAATAGAAATGCTTTAATAATATTTTAATACAAAAATGTACCAACAAAATGATATGGAGTAACATCAAATGAAATTTCCACGGAACCATTTAGATAGTTTGCTTGAGTTACGCATCACACTTTGTGCATTTCTCACCGTCACCCACATGGTCCTTTGATTCAAAAACTTGTTCATCGTGGCCGTAGAGTAACAATTAATCACGTGTATCCAACCCCACACGAATCAAATCTCTCCACCCAACTATGGCCAGACACGTAAGCACTCCCATCAAACGATGCAATCACAATCACCCAAGCACAAAAGCTTTGAAAGACCCCTCGTCTCCATATAAATACGAAGCGACTACTCAGGAGGACCACCGAATATCATAGATTCGCGATAACCGAAAGAAAGCGACGGACGTAAACTCGCCGTCGCAGATAGATTCGTTTGACCGGAGCTGTGATTTCTCTCCTCTCTCGTTAAGAAACCAGCATGAAGAGACGAAGAGCGGCGAGGAAATCATCGGCGACGGTGGCGGTTAGCGATTCTAAAAGGTTGGACTCGGGAGAAGAGACGAGAATGGTGAGGAGGTTGATGAAGTTCGAGGAGTTGCCTGAGTATTTGCAGGATAACGAGTTTATACACGATCATTACCGATGCCAATGGTCTCTCAAAGATACCTTCCTCAGTGCCTTCTCTTGGCATAACGAGACTCTCAACATCTGGACGTACGTAGTTACTAATCCAATTTCAAAAATGTTAAATGAACGCCGTCTGTGGGGATCGAACCCACGGCCACGGGATTAAAAGTCACGCGCTCTACCACTGAGCTAAGACGGCTTTTTGATTTTGTTGTCTTTTAACAGGCACTTGATCGGGTTTCTGGTGTTTATGTGGATGATGGTGGTGAGTTCGTTAGAGACGACGGAGCTTAGCCTTGCTGGACTCTTCAACGGCATGTCCGGGTAAGAACCTTCGAGGTTAAAATCGGTATTTGTTATATTACTTTCTTGTTTCTTAATTTAAAAATATACCGGCTTTTTTTTGGGGTGTGTGGGACCCGAGGATAGAGCGTGGATTCGCGCCTCCAGCAATCAGACCCTGCTTCGTCATGTAAGCTTTTTGTTTCTTTGTTAATTTTTAATTTCGCGACTTATCTTATCTTCTGTGTAACATATTAGACGTATGATGTTTGGCATTTTCTAATAGTAGAGTGTAGTGGTAAAGTTAATTGCCCCCACCATGTGTTCTTTTCGATATGTTTGTTTGGATCTTTCTTCTCTTGTGTTTTGAGCCTACAAATTCTTTTTCAAAAAATCACATTAGCTTTTGAGTAAAAAAAAGAAATGACTTTCTTTTTTTTTTTTTTATCAAAAAAGAAGAAGACTAAAAGCATCTACATTACATAAGAGTGTTCCCATTGACATCTAAAACATGATGTTCATATGAACGTTAATATTTTCAATTTAGTTTTAAATATTACTAAAACTAAGATGCAAAGAAAATAAACCATTAATATGAAACGTGTGTTAAAAGTATCTCATGAGTTTCTAAAAAAAGTTTTGAAAAGGGAAATTCATCTATTTTTTCCTTTTGTTTTAAAAAATAATAATTTATTCATAAGTTTAATCATTAGATGTCTGTTGAAATCTATCAATAAATATGTTATTGAAATCGCAGCCTATTTTAAATGTGTAAATATTTATAAAGTGGCATTATTATCTCTCAATTAAAAATATTCATTAGTGAAAGATCAATTATTTCAAATTTCATTTTTTAAAGTTTATGTCACAAAAAAAATACTCAAGAAAGAAAATAACCAAAAGAAGTTTCATTACAAAGACAAAAGACTTTGTGTGTATTATTTTATAAATATATAAATAATAAATAATAAATATAAAAATAAAAAATAACAAATTTAATGTAAAAATATATGAGAAACTCTCTAGGATAGATTTAAAAAAGTTTTTTTTCACAAATATAGACCTTAAAAATAAAAATGATAAAAATAAATTTAAATAATTTATTAAAAATAAGTAAATATACAATTATACCTTTTGGGTTTGGGTCAACTAATCCTTAAAATTTTCAAAATAAAAAATGTTATTTTGGTCATTTTAGTTTTTGAGGTCTATTTTTGTGATAAAAACTTAGAAGATCTATTTGAGAGATTTTCCAAAAATATATATTTTAATATTTTCGGATTATATATTTTCAAAGTCACACTTTTTATTATTTTTCAAATTTTTGTTTGTTAAAAAGATTTTTTTTTCTTTTGAAATTCAAAAATGCTTTTTAAACTATTTTCAAAATTTTATTTAAAATTTTTAATATTTATTTTCTATTTTTGAATATTTTAAACCATAAAATCCTAACTCTAAATAAAAAAAAATCTAGGATTAATTAATCCTAGGAATATATGAATATATATTTTTCTTTCAATAATTTTTTTTTTTGTCATTTCTACGTTAAAGGTTTTTTGTGAAAATAAACGAAAAAAAAAACTATCATAAAAATTTCTCATTGTGAAACTTATGTTAATTTATCCCACTCACATTAATTACTTTTCATTTGTCTAAAAAGGAAAAGTTTATTCACACTTTGAATGATGATGTTACTCGACTTACCAAATTGAGTTGAATCAATTGAATTGAAACGTTTCCGTGGCCTCTTTTTTCAAGAGAAAACATTTATATATTGATGTTTCATACACATAAAATGTGAACTGTACCATTTAATAAGAGATGGCCAAAAAGGGAAGTTTAATTTTTCTAGAGATGATAATAAACTATTAGGTGGTCTCATTTATTATGATTTAGATACAAATAATTTTAGTGATAAAGTTTAAATAAAATTATATTAATACTAAGTTTAAAAATACTTTTGTACTTTAGAATAATTCTTCTTATTGTATAATTACTTTGGATATATGTTGTTTCTTATACTACTGTGGAAGTATACTTAAAATAAGAATTTTTATTAAATTTGCAAAAAAAAACTTGGTAAATCCATATGAATACATTTTTGGAAAAAAATGAAACTTACCTTTAAAATAAAATGTTCAAAAAGTTAGTACTTTTTGGAAAAAGTGATTGATTTAATCCGAATTGGACTATACATGTATATCAGCTTTTGTATATAATAATAGTATATGTTTTCATTACATTATTATGCATGCCAAATACGTCAACGGATATCTTATATATTAAAACAGAAGTCATGACTTGATTTCATGTGTGATTTTTTAAAAAATGAACTGTTACTAGAAAGTTATGTTACATTAACTCTCTAATAATATTATCATTATTATATCTTATAATATGCTTAACAATTTTGTTTTGGTAAATTACCCCACACCTTCCAACTTAGTCACGCAAAATATGTCAATAGATATAAATTTAGGAATCTTCTATTATTTATAAGGAAATATGTCAATAATAGTTAAATGCATCCA